AGTGACGAAGATAACGAGGATGCTACACCTCAAGTCTTTTGGCGAGCGAGTGCCAATGCAGTCGAAGGTACTGATTTGTCTGAGCCGACAACGTTTGTATTGAGGGTTACCGGTACAATTCGAACCTAGCGCGTAGTTCTTACGAGATAGTTTTTACATCGGTAATTACCTCAGAGATGATTAGACGCGTAGGATGATTGGACGCGTGTAAATCAGGTTGATTAGATGCACCATGTGATTGGATGCAGTCTAGGGTAGGCAGAAGTTAAGACCTATAAATCAATCACTTTCGAATCCTCCCTCAAGTGAGCAAGTGTTCTCTGCTTCGTTCTCTTCGGTCTCTCCGCTTCGTTTTCTCTTCGCCTCGCGCTCAAGTTACAACAGGTTATGAGCCCAAGCGCCATGTCGTCCAACAACACCTCGGCCAGTGTCTCCATCGATAAGTTCGATGGGGACAACTACTCAACCTGGTGTCGCTACATGCGCGGCGTGTTTCTGACGAAGTCAGTCTGGTACGTCGTGAACCGCGAAACGTCTCCAACCTTCACCGACACGCGAGCTTCCGACGAGTACGTCAAGGCGAGCAACATCGCGTTCGGGTTGATGTTGCTCCACATGGACGCCGACTACCACCATGTGGTCGACAACTGTGAAGAAGCATGGACAGCGTGGTCGCGGTTGAAGATGCTCTATGGTGGGTCGCAGAAGGCGGGACGCATCTACCTCAAGCGCCAGCTGTTCAGCATCAAGATGGCGGAAGGTGCCAACGTCTTGCACCATTGCAACGAAGTCTTGAACATCGGCGCCAAGCTCAGCAGCATCGGTGCCAAGATGGAAGATGAAGACATTGCGATCTGCTTACTGCGCAGTCTGCCCAATAGTTTCGAGAACGTGGTTCTCAACTTGGAGATGAGCAATGCAGAGCTGCGCACGCAAGATGTGGTCAAGGTGCTGACTAACGAGCACATCAAGAGACAAGGCGAGAAGATGACAACGGCAACGACAACGGTGAAGACTGAAGATGCGACAAAGGCATTCAGTACCGAGCGCAAGCCCTACCAATGCACATACTGCGGCAAGGTGGGGCACACGGCAGAGCGTTGCTGGACGAAGCAAAAGGATGAAAGTCGAGGAGCCCAACGCGGCGGCAATGGTCGTCGACGCGGGTCAAACAATGTCCACTGGCGACATTATGATGAAGGCAACAGCTACGATCGAGTGGCGTTTGCAGTTTCGTTCGAATGCGGAGTTTCGACGAACAAGAATGGACCAGGAATGTGGGCCGTTGACAGCGGGGCAACACATCACATCTGCCACGACAAGTTCAAGTTTGCAAGCTTGGTCGAAGGCAATGATGGCGAGATCCTGATGGCTGATGGCAACAAGGCGGCCATCAAAGGTGTGGGGACCATCGTGGAAAAGGTGATTCTGCCAAACGGGGAAGAGCGCGAGATCGAGATCAAGAACGCGCTCTATGTGCCCAGCATGAGCAAAAATCTGCTCTCGGTGCCGCAGATTAACAAGCACGGCAACTTCCAAGTGGTGTTTGGCGGGGATACGATGTACGTCGCTCGCAAGGATTCCAATCAAGTGGTGGCAGCTGCGGATCTTGTAGACGGACTCTACTGGCTTCGCACGACGCAGCGATCGGCCAATGCGACATCACTCAGCAACGCTGTTGATCTACATGCGCGAATGGGCCATGCTCCAGTCGACGTGCTTCGCAGGATGGTGACAAGTCACATGATCAAGGACGCTCACATCCCTTCCAAGCCGAATGGATCAAGTGAGTGTCGAGGATGCCAAGAAGGGAAGATGGTCCAAAAACCATTCCCGAGCAACCGTGACAAGCGCACCTACAACACCTTCGAGATGCTCCACTTCGACATCTTCGGACCCATGGAAGAAAAATCTCTGGGTGGCAGCAAGTATCTGCTGCTGATCGTGGATGAAGCCAGCGGATGCATGAAGGGTTTTTGTCTGCATTCCAAGTCAGAGAGCGAAGAGTGCATCAAGAAGTACATCACGATGATACAGACGCAGTTCAACAAGAAGGTCAAATTTGTGCGACACGATGGAGCCCGCGAGTTTGCGACGAACTCGCTTCAAGATTTCTACGAAGTCGAAGGCATCGAGCAACAAACCACGGTGCCATACGCACATCAAGCCAATGGAACTGCTGAACGCGCGATTCGAACTATCGTCACCATCGGTCGTAGCATGCTCCATCATGCCAAGTTGGACAAGTGCTTCTGGGCTGAAGCGGCAATGACGGCCGTCTATGTGAAGAACCGTTTGCCGTCACCCAAGATTCCACACAAGACACCGTTCGAGATTGTCTACAATTCTAAGCCAAGTGTCAAGCACATGCGCGTTTTTGGGTGCCAAGCATACATCTTGACCCCGAAGGAGAAACGACTCAAGTGGGATCCCAAGGCCCGGGCTGGATTGTTTTTGGGCTACGAAGAAGTGTCCAAGGCGTATCGAGTTTACGACATCGAAGCGGGGCAGGTGATGATAAGTCGCGATGTCAACTTCGATGAGTCGGCCTTAGGAATGTCGATGCTGATTTCCGATGACGATGTTGATGGCCTGGACTTCGAATCGATCGATCTTGATGATGAAGAACCGCGTCCGAGACACTTCAAACAAACAGGAAAGCGCAAGGCCCAACCCAGTCACGACAATGACGACGCAAGCATGCCCCGAGCAGTGCGCCAACGACCCGGATTGGAAGAGTCAAGTGCGCCGGATGACCTCTCTTCACGTCGAGCCAACGAAGATGAAGAAAGGAAGTCGGAGGAACAACATGACACACCGACTTCCTCCGTGTTTTGGCATGCGAGTGCAAACGCCGTCGAAGCAGCGGTCGATTTTTCGGAGCCGTCGACATTTGAAGAAGCAGTGTCTGGCCCGGACCAAGTACACTGGCGCAAGGCAATTGATGCGGAGCTCGATTCGATGAAGCTTCGCGGTGTCTTTCGTGCGGCCAAGTTACCCAACGGACAAAGCGCCATTGGCACAAAGTGGGTCTTCAAGATCAAGCGCAAGGCGGATGGGTCGATCGAGAAATACAAGGCACGACTTGTGGCCAAGGGTTTTCGCCAAAAGTATGGCATCGACTACACGGAGACGTTCTCGCCCGTGGTCAAGTATGTGACGCTGCGAATGGTCATCGCCATTACCAAGCACTTTGGATGGCCCCTCGACCAGCTCGATGTGGTGACTGCGTTCCTGTATGGAGTGATGAAGGAGAAGGTGTTCTGCGCTGTTCCGGAAGGCGTCAAGATGGAAGGTGATTTCGACTGTCTCGAGCTGATCAAGGCGATCTACGGTCTCAAGCAAGCCTCGCGTGTTTGGAACGAGACCTTCGACGAGTTCATACGCTCGATTGGTTTTCAAGCGTCGGGATTCGATCCATGTCTCTACATCATGACTTCAGAAGGCCATTGTGTTTTTGTGCTGGTCTACGTGGACGATGTCTTGGTGACTGGAAGCTCGCTCGAGATGATTGCGCGCACCAAGAACGACCTCAAGACACGCTTCGAGATGACGGACAGCGGCAAGTGTGCCTTTGTTCTTGGGATCGAGTTATTGGACGGTGAAGATGGCAGCGTGACTATGTGTCAGCGCCGTTATGTCGACGATGTCCTCAAGCGCTTTGGAATGGATGAGTGCAAGGCTGTGGCAAGTCCGGTGGACGTCAGCTCTCGACTGGTTCCAAGCAACTCTGCAAGCAAGGTGGATGTCCCATTCCGTGAAGCAGTGGGTGCTTTGATGCATCTGACGACTGCAACGCGACCGGACATCGCCTATGCTGTAAGCGTTGTGTCACGGTTCATGGAGAAACCCCAAGAAGAACACTGGGTTGCAGTCAAGCGCATCTTCCGCTACCTACAATGCACCAAGATGCATGGAATCTGCTACAAGCCAAGTGCGAAGATCGACTTTCGTGGCTATTCAGATGCAGACTGGGCCGGTGACCTTGCTGATCGCAAATCGACGTCCGGCTACGTCTTCATGCTATTGGGTGCTCCGGTGAGTTGGGGCAGCAAGAAACAGCCAAGTGTGTCACTGTCTACAAGCGAAGCGGAGTACATCGCGCTCAGCCTGGCGATCCAAGAAGGCAAGTGGATCAATCGCTTGCTGTGCGAGATCATGGCGGCTGCAAACGAAGAAGGACCCGAGCTCGTCATCCGTGAAGACAACCAGTCGTGCATCAAGATGACGAAGAATCCGGTCAACCACGGCCGCGCTAAACACATCGACATCAAGTACCATCACATCCGTGATGAAGTCAAGCGCGGCGAAGTAAAGCTTGAATACTGCGAGACGACGTTGATGTTGGCGGACATCATGACGAAGGGACTTCACGGACCGCGTCACAAGAACTTGACGGCGGCGCTTGGCATCCGTGCGTGTTCGGATTGAGGGGGCGTATTGAGGGTTACCGGTACAATCCGAACCTAGCGCGTAGTTCTTACGAGATAGTTTTTACATCGGTAATTACCTCAGAGATGATTAGACGCGTAGGATGATTGGACGCGTGTAAATCAGGTTGATTAGATGCACCATGTGATTGGATGCAGTCTAGGGTAGGCAGAAGTTAAGACCTATAAATCAATCACTTTCGAATCCTCCCTCAAGTGAGCAAGTGTTCTCTGCTTCGTTCTCTCCGGTCTCTCCGCTTCGTTTTCTCTTCGCCTCGCGCTCAAGTTACAACAGTTTGGAGATGCTGTTGGTGGACCAGATCAAGTGCATTGGCGTAAGGCAATCTGTGCCGAGTTGGACTCGATGAAACTTCGTGGCGTGCTTCGAGCGCCCAAACAGCCAGCTGGACAGCATACCATTGGCACCAAGTGGGTATTCAATATCAAGCGGAAAGCTGATGGATCTATCGAGAAATACAAGGTGCGTCTCGTGGCAAAAGGGTTCAAGCAGAAATATGGCATCGACTACACGGAGACGTTTTTCCGGTAGTCAAGTACGTGACGCTGCGCATGGTAGTTGCAATCACGAAGTACTTTGACTGGACACTGGACCTACTGGACGTGGTGACAGCTTTGCTATGCGGAGAGATGAAGGAAAAGGTATTCTGCGCGATCCCAGAAGGGGTCGAAGTTGATGAAGACTTTGACTGCTTCGAATTGTTGAAGGCGATCTACGGACTAAAACAAGCATCGCGCGCAAGGAATGAGACTTTCCATGAGTTCGTCTGCTCCATTGGATTTCAAGTATCCGATTTTGACCCGTGTCTTTATCTCAAGATTACAAGTGGCGAGTGCGTGCTTTTGCTGGTATACGTCGATGATGTGTTGGTGACTGGCAGCTCGACCGAAACGATTATGCGTACCAAGAGTGACTTGAAGGCGCGTTTCGAAATGACTGACAGCGGCAAGTGCGCATTCGTGTTGGGCATCGAGCTGGTGGACAACGACAACGGTAGCGTGACGATGTGCCAGCGACGCTACGTGGAAGATGTTCTCAAGCGTTTTGGCATGAGCGACTGCAAAGCCGTCACCAGCCCAACAGACATCAGTTCTTGACTCATACCAAGCAGTGCAGTAACCAAAATCGACGCCCCGTTTTGTGAAGCAGTAGGCGCTTTAATGCACTTGATGATCGCGACACGACCGGACATTGCATTTGCTGTGAGTTACGTTTCCATAATTACGGTGAGCTCTTAGTTGGCGGTCATCGGTTTCCGACCATTATTGGTAACCATGACCGTCCAATCCGAACCGCCTGTTCAGCTTTGTATTTACGACGTAGTTCTTACGGTAATTAACACAGTTGATTAGACGCGTAGGATGACGAGACACTTCAAATGATTTATATGTGCACCACATAAAAATCATGTAGTAAGTAGTAAGCCCCGATAATCAATCACTTTCGAATCTTCCAACAAGTGAGCAAGTCTCTTCTTCTCTACTCTCTTCAGCCTCTCCGCTCCATCAGCTCCTCTCTCTACCAATGCAACAACGGCAATCTACATCAAGAATCGCCTACCATCGCCCAAGTGCCAAGATTAAACCCCGTTCGAGATCGTCAACGGATTTCGACCAAGTGTGAAGCACATGCGGGTTTTCGGCTGCCGACCATTTGTGCTGACCCCTAAGGAAAAGAGATCGAAATGGGATCCAAAGGATCGTAAAGGACGATTCATGGGGTACGAAGAAGTGTCAAATGCATATCGCGTTTACGACATTGAAGCGGATCAAGTGGTGATATCTCGCGATGTCACATTCGACGAATCAACATTTGGTTTCTCGCCGACGCTACCACAAGAAATTGTTGATGACACTGCGCTGGATATCGAATCGATGAACATCAGCGACGAGCCTCACCCTATGCAGTTCAAGCAAATTGGAAAACGCAAAAGCCGTTCAAACAGCCAAGAACAAGCTCTGCAACGGACACTTCCTGAGCGTCGTGGAACCGGGTTCGAAGAAGCAAGTGCACCGGATGAATTTGAAACGCACCAAGCGAAGCGACGGTCAAGCGCTCGAGCCAATCTGGACGAAGAGCGAAAGGGCAGTGACGAAGATAACGAGGATGCTACACCTCAAGTCTTTTGGCAAGCGAGTGTCAACGCAGTCGAAGGTACTGACTTGTCTGAGCCGACAACGTTTAAAGATGCTGTTGATGGACCGGATCAAGTGCATTGGCGTAAAGCAATCTGTGCCGAGTTGGACTCGATGAAACTTCGTGGCGTGCTTCGAGCGCCCAAACAGCCAGCTGGACAGCATACCATTGGCACCAAGTGGGTATTCAATATCAAGCGGATAGCTGATGGATCCATCGAGAAATACAAGGCGCGTCTCGTGGCAAAAGGGTTCAAGCAGAAATATGGCATCGACTACACGGAGACGTTTTTCCGGTAGTCAAGTACGTGACGCTGCGCATGGTAGTTGCAATCACGAAGTACTTTGACTGGACACTGGACCTACTGGACGTGGTGACAGCTTTGCTATGCGGAGAGATGAAGGAAAAGGTATTCTGCGCGATCCCAGAAGGGGTCGAAGTTGATGAAGACTTTGACTGCTTCGAATAGTTGAAGGCGATCTACGGACTAAAACAAGCATCGCGCGCAAGGAATGAGACTTTCCATGAGTTCGTCTGCTCCATCGGATTTCAAGTATCCGATTTTAACCCGTGTCTTTATCTCAAGATTACAAGTGGCGAGTGCGTGCTTTTGCTGGTATACGTCGATGATGTGTTGGTGACTGGCAGCTCGACCGAACTGATTATGCGCACCAAGAGTGACTTGAAGGCGCGTTTCGAAATGACTGACAGCGGCAAGTGCGCATTCGTGTTGGGCATCGAGCTGGTGTACAACGACAACGGTAGCGTGACGATGTGCCAGTGACGCTACGTGGAAGATGTTCTCAAGCGTTTTGGCATGAGCGACTGCAAAGCCGTCACCAGCCCAACAGACATCAGTTCTTGACTCATACCAAGCAGTGCAGTAACCAAAATCGACGCCCCGTTTTGTGAAGCAGTAGGCGCTTTAATGCACTTGATGACCGCGACACGACCGGACATTGCATTTGCTGTGAGTTACGTTTCCATAATTACGGTGAGCTCTTAGTTGGCGGTCATCGGTTTCCGACCATTATTGGTAACCATGACCGTCCAATCCGAACCGCCTGTTCAGCTTTGTATTTACGACGTAGTTCTTACGGTAATTAACACAGTTGATTAGACGCGTAGGATGACGAGACACTTCAAATGATTTATATGTGCACCACATAAAAATCATGTAGTAAGTAGTAAGCCCCGATAAATCAATCACTTTCGAATCTTCCAACTAGTGAGCAAGTCTCTTCTTCTCTACTCTCTTCAGCCTCTCCGCTCCATCAGCTCCTCTCTCTACCAATGCAACAACGGCAATCTACATCAAGAATCGCCTACCATCGCCCAAGTGCCAAGATTAAACCCCGTTCGAGATTGTCAACGGATTTCGACCAAGTGTGAAGCACGTGCGGGTTTTCGGCTGCCGAACGTTTGTGCTGACCACTAAGGAAAAGAGATCGAAATGGGATCCGAAGGCCCATGAAGGACGATTCATGGGGTACGAAGAAGTGTCAAAGGCATATCGCGTTTACGACATTGAAGCGGATCAAGTGGTGATATCTCGCGATGTCACATTCGACGAATCAACGTTTGGTTTCTCGCCGACGCTACCACAAGAAATTGTTGATGACACTGCGCTGGATATCGAATCGATGAACATCAGCGACGAGCCTCACCCTATGCAGTTCAAGCAAATTGGAAAACGCAAAAGCCGTTCAAACAGCCAAGAACAAGCTCTGCAACGGACACTTCCTGAGCGTCGTGGAACCGGGTTCGAAGAAGCAAGTGCACCGGATGAATTTGAAACGCACCAAGCGAAGCGACGGTCAAGCGCTCGAGCCAATCTGGACGAAGAGCGAAAGGGCAGTGACGAAGATAACGAGGATGCTACACCTCAAGTCTTTTGGCGAGCGAGTGTCAACGCAGTCGAAGGTACTGACTTGTCTGAGCCGACAACGTTTAAAGATGCTGTTGATGGACCGGATCAAGTGCATTGGCGTAAAGCTATCTGTGCCGAGTTGGACTCGATGAAACTTCGTGGCGTGCTTCGAGCGCCCAAACAGCCAGCTGGACAGCATACCATTGGCACCAAGTGGGTATTCAATATCAAGCGGATAGCTGATGGATCCATCGAGAAATACAAGGCGCGTCTCGTGGCAAAAGGGTTCAAGCAGAAATATGGCATCGACTACACGGAGACGTTTTTCCGGTAGTCAAGTACGTGACGCTGCGCATGGTAGTTGCAATCACGAAGTACTTTGACTGGACACTGGACCTACTGGACGTGGTGACAGCTTTGCTATGCGGAGAGATGAAGGAAAAGGTATTCTGCGCGATCCCAGAAGGGGTCGAAGTTGATGAAGACTTTGACTGCTTCGAATTGTTGAAGGCGATCTACGGACTAAAACAAGCTTCGCGAGTATGGAACGAGAATTTCCATGAGTTCGTCTGCTCCATTGGATTCCAAGTATCCGATTTTGACCCGTGTCTTTATCTCAAGATTACAAGTGGCGAGTGCGTGCTTTTGCTGGTATACGTCGATGATGTGTTGGTGACTGGCAGCTCGACCGAACTGATTATGCGCACCAAGAGTGACTTGAAGGCGCGTTTCGAAATGACTGACAGCGGCAAGTGCGCATTCGTGTTGGGCATCGAGATGGTGTACAACGACAACGGTAGCGTGACGATATGCCAGCGACGCTACGTGGAAGATGTTCTCAAGCGTTTTGGCATGAGCGACTGCAAAGCCGTCACCAGCCCAACAGACATCAGTTCTTGACTCATACCAAGCAGTGCAGTAACCAAAATCGACGCCCCGTTTTGTGAAGCAGTAGGCGCTTTAATGCACTTGATGACCGCGACACGACCGGACATTGCATTTGCTGTGAGTTACGTTTCGTTCATAACCTCCAGGTGAGCATTAGTTGGCGGTCAGCGATTTTGCGACTACTGGTACAAGGGACTAAGTCGGACGGCCTGTTCAGCTCTGTATTGACGACGTAGCTTCTTACGGCTACTCGATGCAGAGGCGCACATGCAGACCATCGACCGAATATGTTGATGGGTGATGGTGAGTGGGGAAGCAAAACTCAAGGTCGGTCAACAAGTGAAGTGAGTGATGATTAAGTCTGCTATTCAAGAAGGCAAGTGGGTGCATCGATTAACACAGTTTGATGCAGAGGACAGTCTGTACCCGAGCTATGATCATGGAGACACAATTGCATCAAGATGACGAAGAATCCTGTGAATATGGTGGCACCACTATAAAAATCATGTAGTGGAAGTAGTAAGCCTACCGATAAGGATCAATCACTTTCGAATCTTCCAACTAGTGGAGCAAGTTTATCTCTTCTTCTCCACTCTGTTCAGCCTCTCCGCTCCATCAGCTCCTCTCTCTACCAATGCAACAACGGCAATCTACATCAAGAATCGCCTACCATCGCCCAAGTGCCAAGATTAAACCCCGTTCGAGATTGTCAACGGATTTCGACCAAGTGTGAAGCACGTGCGGGTTTTCGGCTGCCGAACGTTTGTGCTGACCCCTGAGGAAAAGAGATCGAAATGGGATCCAAAGGATCGTAAAGGACGATTCATGGGGTACGAAGAAGTGTCAAAGGCATATCGCGTTTACGACATTGAAGCGGATCAAGTGGTGATATCTCGCGATGTCACATTCGACGAATCAACGTTTGGTTTCTCGCCGACGCTACCACAAGAAATTGTTGATGACACTGCGCTGGATATCGAATCGATGAACATCAGCGACGAGCCTCACCCTATGCAGTTCAAGCAAATTGGAAAACGCAAAAGCCGTTCAAACAGCCAAGAACAAGCTCTGCAACGGACACTTCCTGAGCGTCGTGGAACCGGGTTCGAAGAAGCAAGTGCACCGGATGAATTTGAAACGCACCAAGCGAAGCGACGGTCAAGCGCTCGAGCCAATCTGGACGAAGAGCGAAAGGGCAGTGACGAAGATAACGAGGATGCTACACCTCAAGTCTTTTGGCGAGCGAGTGTCAACGCAGTCGAAGGTACTGACTTGTCTGAGCCGACAACGTTTAAAGATGCTGTTGATGGACCGGATCAAGTGCATTGGCGTAAAGCTATCTGTGCCGAGTTGGACTCGATGAAACTTCGTGGCGTGCTTCGAGCGCCCAAACAGCCAGCTGGACAGCATACCATTGGCACCAAGTGGGTATTCAATATCAAGCGGAAAGCTGATGGATCCATCGAGAAATACAAGGCGCGTCTCGTGGCAAAAGGGTTCAAGCAGAAATATGGCATCGACTACACGGAGACGTTTTTCCGGTAGTCAAGTACGTGACGCTGCGCATGGTAGTTGCAATCACGAAGTACTTTGACTGGACACTGGACCTACTGGACGTGGTGACAGCTTTGCTATGCGGAGAGATGAAGGAAAAGGTATTCTGCGCGATCCCAGAAGGGGTCGAAGTTGATGAAGACTTTGACTGCTTCGAATTGTTGAAGGCGATCTACGGACTAAAACAAGCATCGCGAGTATGGAACGAGAATTTCCATGAGTTCGTCTGCTCCATTGGATTCCAAGTATCCGATTTTGACCCGTGTCTTTATCTCAAGATTACAAGTGGCGAGTGCGTGCTTTTGCTGGTATACGTCGATGATGTGTTGGTGACTGGCAGCTCGACCGAACTGATTATGCGCACCAAGAGTGACTTGAAGGCGCGTTTCGAAATGACTGACAGCGGCAAGTGCGCATTCGTGTTGGGCATCGAGATGGTGTACAACGACAACGGTAGCGTGACGATATGCCAGCGACGCTACGTGGAAGATGTTCTCAAGCGTTTTGGCATGACCGACTGCAAAGCCGTCACCAGCCCAATCAGTTCTTGACTCATACCAAGCAGTGCAGTAACCAAAATCGACGCCCCGTTTTGTGAAGCAGTAGGCGCTTTAATGCACTTGATGACCGCGACAGGACCGGACATTGCCTTTGCTGTGAGTTACGTTTCGCGCTTCATAGAAAACCTCCAAGTCGAGCATTGGATGGCGGTCAAGCGCATTTTGCGATACTTACAAGGGACTAAGTCGGACGGCATCTGTTTCAAGTCTGATGACAAGATAGACTTCTGCGGCTACTCGGATGCAGACTGGGCCGGCGACCATGCAGACCGCAAGTCGACTTCGAGATATGCGCTCATCCTGATGGGTGATCCGGTGAGCTGGGGAAGCAAAAAGCAGTCAAGTGTGTCGCTGTCAACAAGTGAAGCTGAGTGCATTGCATTAAGTCTGGCTATTCAAGAAGGCAAGTGGGTGCATCGATTGCCATGCGAGATTCTGGATGCCGCAGAGGACAAGTCTGGACCCGAGCTCAAGATCATGGAAGACAACCAATCGTGCATCAAGATGACGAAGAATCCTGTGAACCATGGTCGGGCCAAGCACATCGACTCTTGTGGTCCAATGGAAGTCGACTCGCTAGGTGGAAGCAAGTACTTGCTACTGACCGTAGATGAAGGCAGCGGATGCATGAAGGGTTTCAGTCTGCGCGCCACGTCTGACAGCGAAGAGTGCATCAAGAAGTACATCGTGGCAGTACAGACGCAGTTTGACTACAAGGTCAAGTTCGTTCGCCACGATGGTGCACGCGAATCTGTGGCAAATTCGCTCAAGGCATTTTACGATGATCAACGAATCGAGCAGCAAGTTACCGTTCCATATGCGCATCAGACCAACGGCACGGCGGAACGGGCAATTCGGACCATTGTGACGATCGGGCGCAGCATGCTTCACTACGCCAAGCTGGACAAGTTTTTTTGAGTTGAAGCAGCAATGACGGCGATCTACATCAAGAATCGCCTACCATCGCCCAAGTGCCAAGATTAAACCCCGTTCGAGATTGTCAACGGATTTCGACCAAGTGTGAAGCACGTGCGGGTTTTCGGCTGCCGAACGTTTGTGCTGACCCCTGAGGAAAAGAGATCGAAATGGGATCCAAAGGATCGTAAAGGACGATTCATGGGGTACGAAGAAGTGTCAAAGGCATATCGCGTTTACGACATTGAAGCGGATCAAGTGGTGATATCTCGCGATGTCACATTCGACGAATCAACGTTTAGTTTCTCGCCGACGCTACCACAAGAAATTGTTGATGACACTGCGCTGGATATCGAATCGATGAACATCAGCGACGAGCCTCACCCTATGCAGTTCAAGAAAACTGGAAAACGCAAAAGCCGTTCAAACAGCCAAGAACAAGCTCTGCAACGGACACTTCCTGAGCGTCGTGGAACCGGGTTCGAAGAAGCAAGTGCACCGGATGAATTTGAAACGCACCAAGCGAAGCGACGGTCAAGCGCTCGAGCCAATCTGGACGAAGAGCGAAAGGGCAGTGACGAAGATAACGAGGATGCTACACCTCAAGTCTTTTGGCGAGCGAGTGTCAACGCAGTCGAAGGTACTGACTTGTCTGAGCCGACAACGTTTAAAGATGCTGTTGATGGACCGGATCAAGTGCATTGGCGTAAAGCTATCTGTGCCGAGTTGGACTCGATGAAACTTCGTGGCGTGCTTCGAGCGCCCAAACAGCCAGCTGGACAGCATACCATTGGCACCAAGTGGGTATTCAATATCAAGCGGAAAGCTGATGGATCCATCGAGAAATACAAGGCGCGTCTCGTGGCAAAAGGGTTCAAGCAGAAATATGGCATCGACTACACGGAGACGTTTTTCCGGTAGTCAAGTACGTGACGCTGCGCATGGTAGTTGCAATCACGAAGTACTTTGACTGGACACTGGACCTACTGGACGTGGTGACAGCTTTGCTATGCGGAGAGATGAAGGAAAAGGTATTCTGCGCGATCCCAGAAGGGGTCGAAGTTGATGAAGACTTTGACTGCTTCGAATTGTTGAAGGCGATCTACGGACTAAAACAAGCATCGCGAGTATGGAACGAGAATTTCCATGAGTTCGTCTGCTCCATTGGATTCCAAGTATCCGATTTTGACCCGTGTCTTTATCTCAAGATTACAAGTGGCGAGTGCGTGCTTTTGCTGGTATACGTCGATGATGTGTTGGTGACTGGCAGCTCGACCGAACTGATTATGCGCACCAAGAGTGACTTGAAGGCGCGTTTCGAAATGACTGACAGCGGCAAGTGCGCATTCGTGTTGGGCATCGAGATGGTGTACAACGACAACGGTAGCGTGACGATATGCCAGCGACGCTACGTGGAAGATGTTCTCAAGCGTTTTGGCATGACCGACTGCAAAGCCGTCACCAGCCCAATCAGTTCTTGACTCATACCAAGCAGTGCAGTAACCAAAATCGACGCCCCGTTTTGTGAAGCAGTAGGCGCTTTAATGCACTTGATGACCGCGACACGACCGGACATTGCCTTTGCTGTGAGTTACGTTTCGCGCTTCATGGAAAACCTCCAAGTCGAGCATTGGATGGCGGTCAAGCGCATTTTGCGATACTTACAAGGGACTAAGTCGGACGGCATCTGTTTCAAGTCTGATGACAAGATAGACTTCTGCGGCTACTCGGATGCAGACTGGGCCGGCGACCATGCAGACCGCAAGTCGACTTCGAGATATGCGCTCATCCTGATGGGTGATCCGGTGAGCTGGGGAAGCAAAAAGCAGTCAAGTGTGTCGCTGTCAACAAGTGAAGCTGAGTGCATTGCATTAAGTCTGGCTATTCAAGAAGGCAAGTGGGTGCATCGATTGCCATGCGAGATTCTGGATGCCGCAGAGGACAAGTCTGGACCCGAGCTCAAGATCATGGAAGACAACCAAT